CAGCGAGGAGGAACGAGGTATCGGTGAGGTTGCTCATCTTTTTCTTTGTGAACCACATACGCGATTCGGTCCGCCGGCCGTTCTGCCGTCGTCGCCATTTTCGTGTTTCGCGACCGTTCAGACTCTGTGCCGAGCCGTCGATATTTTGTGAAATTTCGAGTAATCGGAGGCAAGCGACCGAGGAAAAGCGGACAATCGTATTGTAGGCATTAATTGATAAGGCAACGTTCGTTTCTCTTCGGGTTTCGAGTGTTCGGGGTGTTCAATACGCGTAGCTATCGACCGCGTGCGCGAAGAATCGCGAAAAGCATACACCGCCCGTGCTGTCGTATCACTGTCATTGCCGCGTGGAATATTCCCGCAAAGTATCTCGGGGCGATTTTTGTGTCTGATTGCGTGGATGTCGTCATCTGTTGTTAAGTGTGCGTGTGAGCGTCTATTGTATTATATCATATTGTGTGCGTTAGAGTATTTGCGTCTTCGTCGCGCTTATTACGCCGGTGAATAGAGCGTAGTAAGTAATAATTTGCGTTTGTTGAATGTGTCGCGGTGCGAAATAATCGCAAAAGTACGACCGAGAGTGAAATCTGAGCTGCTTGCGCGGAAGAAAGAGGCGAAACGTCGGGAGAGAAAGATCTCCGGCCGCCGTCGGCTATCGAATATCGAACATATCGCTCGCATACGAGATCCGTCTTCGCAAAGTTATTAATTATTTTCGATCTATGGTTAATTATGCTGTCGAACTATTGGGCTGTCGATTAGAATTGCGAACTGGGAAATAGTGAGGAAAAGTCCGTAACGATAAGACGTCGATTTGGCTGCCGAAATTACGATACGTTTTAGTGAATATTATTCGCGAATATTTCTATGTCGGAAAATCCACTGTATTCTGAGAAGTATCGTTGAGTCCGGCGAACTCCGGCCATAAAAACGGGCTCGGAGAAACAACAGGATTGCCTTAGCGCTCTCTTTTCGGTTGTCGATTTCGAGCGAACATTTGATTTGAATAACTTCGTATTATTTGTGCCATGATTGATTGGATTTTATATTTCGTTTTTTTTCATCGTGTTAAATTTATTGTGAACATTCGTTGCTACTTTATTTTGTTATTCAACTTTATATTTCTTTTATATTATTTTCTTAATAATAAACTTGTTATATTTCTTTGTTATGCTCGCGTAATTTATTTGAGTGTTAGCCTGTCGTGGTTGTCGATATCCGTTTTTGTGTCTGTCGCATATTGGATTATTGAAGTCTCACATAATCAATTAGCTTTCTCTAAAACCCCTCCCCTCTACCATTAGGCGAGCTAGTCGGCCCGTGGCGAGGCAGGCTATCATTTTTCGCGTTCTTTGACGTTTTGTGGAAAACTGATGCGTGAAAGACCGCATCTGGCGCCCAACTTACCAAGATATCGAAACAGCCTCCGCTCCGCCGCGGCTCGCGTGAGAACGTCCTCCCTATTCCTCAGAGCCCGAGTATATTAATTTTGCTATTTTTTTTGACGGCGTTTTCGCTCCCCCGCGCACGCTCCCCTCCAACACCTCGAGGAGTGTTGCGAATAATTTAAATTGAAGAAACGTCGCAACCAATATCCGACAAGTAAAGTATTCTCTCTTCTTTTTCTATCTTCAAAAGCCAATTTATTAATAGTAAGATATACTGGCCAAAGACTTATTTTTGATGATTTACAAACTGATATGCCGTCAGTATACCATGTGAAAGAAATATTGTTACGATCACGAAGAAATCCATTGTTAAACCATTCTTGATATAACTGTCTATCATAAATATTCGTTATACTTCCAAGAAATTGCATTGGACGTTCAAATCGACTTTGAAGTTTATCATAAAATGAAGGCCTTGCATACATTTCTCTTAACTGATTTATGCAAGATAGCTCGATAAAATAGGCGTTATTTTTTTGACGACACAATGGACGAATATCATTCATTGATCTTAATTCTCGATTACAAATTGTATAATAATAATAATGTCTAACAGCATCAGCCTCACTTAAACGAAAAAATTTTTTAAATTTATATAAACTGTTTTTTCTTAAATTTCGAAAAGGGCAATGAAATTTGATAACTGTAATAATGTCGACAGTAGATGACATCGTAAGATTATGATGTAAAAGAAGAGATAAAATTAGGGACATACTATCACCGACAGTTATTTCAGCGCCATGATATAATGGTTCATTTCGGTCATCATCGTTAATGACGTTGTTAAGATCATTATCAATATTTTCATGGTCGATATTATAAGTATTATCATAAATATCCGAATCATCACTTTCCTCAAAAGTTGAATTCGTATCATCCAGATCATTAGTAGAATCATAAGTCCTAAAATCGTATCTGATATTAGTATCTACTCTTTCTTGTGAACTACTTAAATTACATTTATTTTTATAAATAATAAAGGTTTTTATTTTTATACAGTAAATGCGTTTTTAAATAAATATATATACTATAGTGTGTGTGTGTGTGTGTGTGTGTGTGTGTGTGTGTGTGTGTGTGTGTGTGTGTGTGTGTGTAGACATCACATATTCTAAGTTTTTATCTTATTTGTTACTTATTATTTTATTATTATAATAAATTTGCATACCCATATTCGTTTTCAATTTCATTATTTTCAGAAAATTGTACTCTCTCATGTACGTCTTCTATTTCGTATTGATTGCTGAATATTGAAAAATATTTCTGATTAGTTAGAATTTCCTCTTTGTTTTATAAAATATTTTTATAAATATTTATCAAGATTATTAATAAGTTGTCAAATAAAATAACTACTTTCGATTATTTAATGCAAATTGAGCATTTTCCTGGTCGGGTAGAATATCAAAATTTCTATTTCCCAGAATAACCTTTAATCGAACGTCTTGCTGTTTCTTGCAAACTTGTTCAAGTGATTTGTGCGACATCATTTATTCAGAATCATTCATTCAATCAATCATTTATTTAGAATTTACAATATGATCAAAAATTAAATTTTTGTCTTTCGGAAGAAAAACTAAATACCGAAATTATCTCTTTTTAGAAAGCGAGACGAGAAGGTTGGATGAAAATAATATACCTGATATCGATATTAATCTTGCAATGATAGAAAAAGAAAAAAAGAAAATCTATCATGTATCAGGTAACTTCTAGTTTCGCAATCAAAAAAGAGACACTCGACAGTTGTCGTCATTTCCCTCATTATATTTAATAGTTTTTCCGAATAGTTCGTCCATTAATAAAGTATTAATGGAACATTAATAAATACGTGTACTTTAAATAAGTGTGTGATTAAGTATGATTATGCCGAAGCACAAGAAATTTGCATTAATTTGGTGGCTGGAAACCAAAGAAAAAGATGTAATTAATGTATCGATTGTTTCCAAAAAATCCAGACACGTTAATGAAATAGTGAAATTAACGTGGAAAGATTATAAAACTCAGAAAAAAACAAAGGCTGAGGCAAAAATTCTTCCATAAGCGGTAAGTTACATTTTTCTGTGTGTGTTAAGAATAACTATTTTTTTATATCAACAAAATAAAAAAATATTACTAAGTGTTGATTTTTATCATAGATAACGAAGATAAACTGCATAAGTTAATTGTAACTACTAGTGGTACCATTCATGATTTATCCCAAAAAATTTTCTCCACCGATATAATAGAAGAGAAGAATGCTGGAAAAATATGTAAAAAAGTAACAGAAAATATAAGAAAATCCAACAAGAGGCAAATTGAAGAAAAGATAGCAAATGGTCCGCACATTTTATCGAATATAACAATTATACCTAACATGCATTCATCATTATCATTCAGCACTATCATCATCACAGTCTCTTCCTCGCAATTTACATCCTCAATCAACATCAATTTTTTCAAATGAAGCCAACAACATCATCATTTTCATGCTTTTCAACTCCATATCATAAAAATCAATCATCTAATAATTTACAAGATACAACACACAGACATTCACTTCAATTAAAGAAAAGACAAATGCAGTACACTTAAATCAAGAATCATCAAACGTATATCAAAACAGTACATTGAATAAATATCAAGATAGTGCATCATCATCCTCACAATCCTCTTCTCACAATCAGTTTTCACTAATAAATAAATCAGATACAACATCATCATTTTCTTGCTCTTCATCGACTATTATTTCATCAACAAAAACCAAAACGCATATATCAAAACAACACAGATTCATCATCAGATTCATCATCAGATTCTGATTCATCTTCACAAAATTCACGAGAAAGTGAACAGAATAATGTTGGAAAAGGAATATGTTAAGGATTGTAACGCTAGATGGAGGTGCAGAGCGCGAAAAAAAAAAATAAGGAGAGATGGCAAGATAGCGAGAGTGCATGTGCACGCGAGAACAATGTTACGCAAAAATATATGTGAGTGTTAAATAAATTTGATTGTGAAGTAAGACAGCAGTTATTAAGCGTCCTATAACAAATTGGCGCCCAACGTGGGGCAACGAACCGAATCCGAGAAAGAGAGTTTGTATCGAAATTAGGTGAAAAGGAACAAAAATCGAGAAGTCGAGCACGTAGCGAGCGTCGCAGCTACGAAAGAAAGACACGAAAACGACGTATAAAACGAACAATAGTGAACGTATTACAATCGTTCGGTAACAAATATTGTAACGAGTGTAGTGCACATGTACATATCGCATCGATGATATTCGCATAGAGGAACGAGTATATTGGATACTCACGCGTCGAAAGAGACAAAAGGATACGGCGTGGCGGTAGACGACGCGCAATCGAAGCATAACCTCAAAAAAAACGAGAATTAGGCATTGGCGTGGGACGACACGCACATTCAATTGCATAACCTCAACAACAGAAGAATCGACGCAGCATTGGACGGCGCGTAGAACTTCGATGATACAAGATAACGGTAAATATCAGATAAGTGAGTCGCTCATCCTCTCCTTCGCTCATCCTCTCATCTTTCTCTTATTCAAATAAATAAAGAAAAATGGAATCTAAGCAGTTGAGAATAAAACGCGGTCAATTGAAAGCGCAACTTACTCGTATTCAGACATTTTTCAGAACAACAGATGAGCCAACAGTAGCTGAAGCACGAGTACGATTAGAAAAATTAAAAGAATTATTGGGATAAATTTGAAGAACTTCAGAGTTCTCTCGAGAGCATACAGGAAAACTTAACCGAGGAGGAGGAGTTGCAGGAAGCTCAAAGCGACAGTGAGGCTGAACGTGCAGCGTTCGAAGTAATGTATTACGACGTGGCGGCGAAGACTCACGGTATAATAGACAGAGCCAATAGGACACGAGAACATTAGAATTGAATCAAGGTAACAATCGTCAGAACGAAAGGAATTATGTAAGAAGAACCAAGCCCAAGCTGCCGGAAATAAAACTCCCTGAATTTCGCGGAGAATACACGAAATGGATGTTTTTCAAGAATAATTTCGAATCGACAATTCATAACGATAAGGATCTCTCGCCGGTGCAAAAGTATCAATATCTGATATGGGTGCTTCAAGGTGAAGCTCGACAAGTAATTCAAGGTTTTAAAATTTCAGATGAAAACTATGAGAGTGCATGGAAATGGCTCAAGGATACCTATGACAATGAGATGATCATAATCGAGACACATCTCGACGAATTGTTAAAATTTCCGAATATCACGAAGGAAAATAAAGCTGAATCAATCCGACAATTTATTTGGCATATTCAGACACACGTCAAATCGCTTGAAGCGTTGCAATAGCCCGTATTTGAATGGGAGACAATCATAATACATCTGGCAAAGAAAAAACTCGATTTCACAGAGCAGCGAGATTGGCAGAACATTGTTAAAGGTAAAACACCCCATAATATGCCAGGACTAGACGAATTTATCAAGTTTTTGACGGAATGTTGTCACATGCTCAGAGTCTTGAACAACTCGAAGGAGAAGCCTGCAGCGCAAAGGCAACAGCAGCAAAAAAAGAGTGAGAAAAAGATTTCTCTTGCTTCGACATCATCGAGTTGTAAGATTTGCAACGGAGATCATCCAGTATACAAATGCGATGAGTTGCTCAAAACCGCAACATCGGAAAGATTTAAATTGGTTAGAGAGAAGCAACTCTGCGTAAATTGTCTCAACCCAGGGCATTATGCAAAAAATTGCAAAGCATCATCGTGTAAAAAATGTCAAGGCAAGCACAACACTATTCTACACAGAGAAACGAAAACATCGTCGCATGAGAACGAAAATACGGAAACGTCAGTAGTGACAATTTGCTCAGAGAATTTATCGACAAAAGCCATACCCACAGAAGTTTCGAGAGATGAGGAGAAAGTAGGAGTATACTACACTTAAAGACCAGCGTCCCGTGTGGTACTATCAACAGCTCGAGTATATGTACAAGATGAAGAGGGCAACCAACAGATTTGCAGGGCATTACTTGATCCCGGATCACAATCAAATCTAATAACAGATAAAATGATACGAAAACTTAAGTTGTCATGCCGATCAGAAGACCGAGATATCTGCGGCGTCAGTCAGTCGAGAACAAGAATACGAAAGGTCGCGCAAGTAAGGCTTGCGTCGATGCACAATGACTTTGCGACAATATTCGAGTGTCTCGTCTTACCATCGATAACAGAAGATTTATCGCAAAAAAGGATCGAAATGAATAGCATCACGTTACCGAAGAATATTTCTCTGGCAGACCCTATTTTCCAGGAATCAGGATCGATTGATCTATTGATTGGCGCAGAATTATATTGGAAAATACTTCTAGGCGCACCGTGAAATCGTATAAACGGGCAACCTGCGTTGCAAAATACAAAGCTTGGCTGGATAGTAGGAGGTTCTCTAAACGACGATGAAGCTAATTCTTCGTCGTCTTGTCTGCACGTGTCGGATCAAATATTGAGTGAACAAGTCGAGCGGTTTTGGAAACAAGAAACGATTCCTGTCAATATACGAAAGAAGACATAGAATGCGAGACAAAGTTTATCGAAACTACAAGACGAGACGAGATAGGAAGGTTTCTTGTTTGTTTGTCAGTACGCATGAGCGTGAAATTAGGCAATTCGAAAGATTCGGCATATCGGCAATTTATTGCGCTAGAACGACGATTGAGTAAAGATTCGACGTGAAGGGCGAGCTACGTGGATTTCATGCAAGACTACGAGCAACAAGGACACATGTCAGCGGTGACGAATGGAAACGCACTCGAATCGGAGTCATATTATCTGCCACATCAAGCTGTAGTGCGACTTGATAGTGTGACAACGAAGCTTCGAGTTGTATTCGATGCATCAGCCAAAAGGAGTACGGGGAATTCGCTAAACGATAAATTAATGGCAGGCCCAAATTTACAGAAGGAATTAATAAACATTATACTCCGTTTTAGGACGCACGAATACGTTTTAACCGCAGATGTGGCGGCTATGTTCAGACAGATCCGTGTGGACAAGCGAGATCGAGTATTACAGCGAATACACTGGAGAGAAGATTCGAGTCAACCAGTACAAGTTTTTGAGCTGAACACAGTAACATATGGAACAGCATGCGCTCCATATTTGGCGATGCGTTGTCTTCAACAGTTGGCGAGGGAGCACCTTGTCGATTTGCCAGAAGCTGCGCATGCCATTAAGGAAGATTGTTACATGGATGATATTTTAACGGGATCGAGAAGACTCGACGATGCAATTAAGTTGCAAAAGAATATCTCACAAATTCTCATGAAGGGGCAATTTCCTCTTCGTAAATGGAGGTCAAACGACCCACGAATACTTTGGCATCTTTCAGATAAGGTTAGAACCGATACCTTGTTACTCATCGACGACGATGGGGCTTTAAAAACATTGGGCTTATTGTGGAACTCGGCATCAGATTGTCTACAGTATAGCATCAAGATATCAAACTCACAAACGATAACTAAACGGATGTTAATAAAATTCTTATAAGAGTAGCAGGTATTGAGTACACAATAAAAATTAATCACAATTTAGGCAAAGATTACTGCTACGGCAAAGGTGTCCTAAGCAAATAAAGATTTAAGAAAAAAATAAATTAAACTTAAAACTTTAGTAGTTAATATTCATGTTTATAATATATTGACATATTAACATGTACAATTTCGTGTTCGCAAACGTTTCGTCCTATTCCAGGACCTTTTCAATGCTGATAGTTAAGATTAAAGACAAAATTACATAAAAAAGTAAAAAGTTTTTTAAAAAATTCGGTCGCTCGCAAAAGATCATAACAACAATACAATAATAATAAGGTCAGAGCAATTCGAACGCAAACAAAACAACGCAAGAAGTCGTTACATTATAAAAAGAAGAAAAAAAAAAAATGTTCATTTAATTTTGAATGTTCATTTAAAATTTCATTTAATGTTGGAAGAAAACGAATGTAATGATTTAAAATTTGATTTACAATTAAGAATTCGAAAAGGAAGACGGTGCGGCTGTCTACGTGCATGCACGATGTCTATGTTACTCACCTTCCAAAAAAACACAGGGATCGCAACGTGTGAGATGCGGTGCAAAAGCTGTGGCAAGCAAGCATAGGGCAGAGATGCTGCATACTCATTAAGCCTTGCACGGTGTATAAAATCCATCAAATTTCCCTTCAAATTTTTTACAAAAAAAGGAGTAGAATCTGAAAAAATTAAGCTGAAAAGAGCAACACATTCACATGCAAACATGTAGAAGCCAGAGAAAATAAGTGTATAACTCCATACAGACAAAGAATCATTTAATGCCAAATAGAATTGAAATGTCAAATGTTTGACGTACTATACAATCGTAGAGGGATATATCGGCAGAAAAGTTAAATTGAAAATTTTATAAATCAAAGCTTTTATTAGTATTAATGAAGCCAAAGTATCGAAAATTTAATGCAAAGGAAATTATGCAGTAAGAAAGGTTGAGATGAAAATTTAATTAATCATAGCTATTTTTAGTATAAATGAAACAAAAATTATTGTAACGTTAGGCGTACGTGATTATTTGTCCGTTGGAAACCAAAAAGCAAATAAAGGGAATAAACATCGTAGAGTCACAAAGAGTAAGAAAAGATAAAATTAATAGAAAATATTTAGAGAAGCTCCAAGAAAATACGTACAGGTGTTCGAAAGCCAAAAATTAATAATGTTAATGCAAATGGTGGCACTTCAAATTAAATAAAGTTTGAGACGTAGAGACAGCGTGTGTTTCATGTGGGATCTCGCTGCGTACTGAAATTACGCGTTATCGAATGTACGGCATACCAAAGGTAGGGGGGAAGGGAGGGGTGGGCAAAAGAAATACAGGAAAGGATAAATAGATAATGTGAAATGAATTTAGCAAGCTCAGGGCCGCAGCTCCGACTTTAATGATTTTATAATCGGGAGATAAATCTTATCAAATTTTTCGGTGTCTTTATGCACATTCAAGCTGTTGTCTTGTCTTATAATGTGAATCATTTCAGAAATTGTCCTTCTTTTGAAAGAAGATTCACGATCAAGAACAATCACCTCATTCCAATCGAACTCATGTCCTTCCAGTCTGTGGAGGGAAACAACTGATAATTGTTCTGTAGAGCCATTAATGTTAGACCGATGTTCTTTCATACGAGTCTTCAATTGTCTGCCGGTCTGTCCAACGTAAGATGCCGTGCAGTCACGGCAATGGATCCTATAGATCACGTTGGAAAGATTCTCCTTTGGAAGTTGGTCTTTATGTGTTTTGATGAAGCAGTTCAGTTTATTCGGTACAGCATAGGCGAGAGACTTATTTAAGTTCTTCGCTACATCTTTAAAGTGCTCAGAGACTCCCTTAATGTATGGGATGATAAAAAACGATTTGGAGGTGTCCGAAGTTGGAGGAAGTGGAGGAGCAAGATTGTTATGGATAAGAGATTTAATTCTGTTAATGATGGTAGAAAAAATGAAATTGATGGGATAACAATTATCCAGGAGCAGATCAATTATCAGCTTAAAATTTTTTTCATGGAAACGCGGGTTAGACAGTTTAAAGATTTTGTCCGTAAGACCAATTATGACGCCTTTTTTATGCGCTTGCGGATGTTGAGAGAGAAAGTTTAAAAATCTCCCAGAGAACGTAGGCTTCATATACCAATCAAACTCAATATGATGGTCTTCAATAATGATAGTGACATCTAAAAAATTGAGACGGTCATTCTCAGGAATTTCTATAGTGAAATTAAGCCTCTGATGGAAGGAGTTAAAGACTTCCATGATAAGATTAAAGGAGGAAGAGGGAGCAATCAAAGCAATGTCGTCCACATATCGAAAATAAAAAGGGAGATGAAAAGGTAGTTGTGACATGGCTTGTTCCTCAAGATCTTGTAAGACTAGATCTGCACAAACGGGGGAGAGGGGGGAACCCATAGGTGTCCCAAAAATTTGCTTGTATATTTTCCCATTGAATTTGAAAAAAGTAGAGTTCAGTACCAGCTTAAGACCGATAGAGAATTCCAAGAGCGGGATCTTGATTTTTTTCTCCAGATGATGCCAACGTTTTGTCACACTGTGAATGATCAAGTCTGTAGGAACGTTGGTGAACAATGAAACAACATCTAATGAAGCTAATTTGAGACTGTCATCGACGTGAAAATAATTAATTTTATCTACTAGCTCATAACTATTGGCAATATGACTATTGGAAGGAGGAAGATTTTCATGAAGGCAATTGTGTAGGAAAGAGGCGAATCTATGGAGAGGACTGTTTATGGACGACACTATGATTCTTAAGGGGAAGCCAGATTTGTGGATCTTTGGTAACCCATAAGCTCTAGGTAGCACCCCGTCACTGGTGTAAAGAGAACGTTTTGTTACAGCTGATATGTAATTATTTCGTTGCCACCGTTTCAGAATATCATTGAGCTCTCTACATATTTTTGACATAGGATCCTTGTTAATAACAATATAAGTGTCAGTATCATCAAGTAATTCATTCATTTTCGTGACATATACGTTCTTGTCAAGCGCCACGCTGGCATTGCCTTTATCAGCTCGTGTTATAATTATGTCTGGATGATCAGCCAAGAAAGTTTTACATGTGTTATTCAATCTCAAAAATGACTCATCAATTCGAGGTAAAGATTTCGATTTATTTTTTAAATGATTCTCTAAACACTGAGCAGTGTGATTTCTTATCTGTTGAGAAATGTCACAATCAAGCCTCGACATGCTGCACTCAATATATTTAATAAAATCAAAAATTAAACGGGGAGAAGATCTAGGTGCTGGTAAGCTGAATTTTTCTCCCAATTGTAAAAGACACTGTACTTCGTGAGGAATGTCAACGGAAGACAAATTAATGAACCACTTCTTATTCACATTGTTGAGTACATGGAAAGAGGAATTCAAGCAAGGAGAATTGGGAGAAGGTTTAATCAAGATATTGTGAGGGAAAGCTAGAGGAGCAGAAGTAGTAGAGAATACGTAATCTTTTTTGACATGTTTTGTGCCAGTGGAGGTAGTTGATTGTGCTCTGAAATCATTTCTGCAATTGTTAGTGTTGGAGTCCGAGGCGAGACTGTAGAAATATGAAAAGGAAAGAGCAGAGGTCTTAACCTCGTGTTTCTTGGTGATCATCCAGTTGAGCTTCCTATGTAACCTACATCTCTCATTGTAAGCAATAAATTGAAAAAATCTTGATTGTCTGTCAAAATAATTGTCAAGAAAATATGAAGGAATACAATTAAACGCTGCCTTCGAGAGACGCAACACACAATGGCGTAGATGGTATAATGATCTAAACGCATCCGCAATTTCCAAGTTCAAAACGTGCCAAGCTGTTCTAAGCCTGATAGTGTTAAAATTGTGTATTGACCTCTTGTTGTAAAAACTAATTCCGTCGTTAAGCCCGTGCAAGAGGTGTGGTGGAAGCACCTTGAATTCTTTGCACTTTCTCAAAAAATTGATTCTCTCTTTAACCTTAATAATATGCATGTGATTGCGCGACCAATCTCTAATAATATTCCTGGGGGTAACCCCAAACAACGACTTAATTAGATTAAAAAAACCATATGGAAATGAACGCATCTTGTGCCGGCGTAATATTAATAAAATTCTTATAAGAGTAGCAGGTATTGAGTACACAATAAAAATTAATCACAATTTAGGCAAAGATTACTGCTACGGCAAAGGTGTCCTAAGCAAATAAAGATTTAAGAAAAAAATAAATTAAACTTAAAACTTTAGTAGTTAATATTCATGTTTATAATATATTGACATATTAACATGTACAATTTCGTGTTCGCAAACGTTTCGTCCTATTCCAGGACCTTTTCAATGCTGATAGTTAAGATTAAAGACAAAATTACATAAAAAAGTAAAAAGTTTTTTAAAAAATTCGGTCGCTCGCAAAAGATCATAACAACAATACAATAATAATAAGGTCAGAGCAATTCGAACGCAAACAAAACAACGCAAGAAGTCGTTACATTATAAAAAGAAGAAAAAAAAAAATGTTCATTTAATTTTGAATGTTCATTTAAAATTTCATTTAATGTTGGAAGAAAACGAATGTAATGATTTAAAATTTGATTTACAATTAAGAATTCGAAAAGGAAGACGGTGCGGCTGTCTACGTGCATGCACGATGTCTATGTTACTCACCTTCCAAAAAAACACAGGGATCGCAACGTGTGAGATGCGGTGCAAAAGCTGTGGCAAGCAAGCATAGGGCAGAGATGCTGCATACTCATTAAGCCTTGCACGGTGTATAAAATCCATCAAATTTCCCTTCAAATTTTTTACAAAAAAAGGAGTAGAATCTGAAAAAATTAAGCTGAAAAGAGCAACACATTCACATGCAAACATGTAGAAGCCAGAGAAAATAAGTGTATAACTCCATACAGACAAAGAATCATTTAATGCCAAATAGAATTGAAATGTCAAATGTTTGACGTACTATACAATCGTAGAGGGATATATCGGCAGAAAAGTTAAATTGAAAATTTTATAAATCAAAGCTTTTATTAGTATTAATGAAGCCAAAGTATCGAAAATTTAATGCAAAGGAAATTATGCAGTAAGAAAGGTTGAGATGAAAATTTAATTAATCATAGCTATTTTTAGTATAAATGAAACAAAAATTATTGTAACGTTAGGCGTACGTGATTATTTGTCCGTTGGAAACCAAAAAGCAAATAAAGGGAATAAACATCGTAGAGTCACAAAGAGTAAGAAAAGATAAAATTAATAGAAAATATTTAGAGAAGCTCCAAGAAAATACGTACAGGTGTTCGAAAGCCAAAAATTAATAATGTTAATGCAAATGGTGGCACTTCAAATTAAATAAAGTTTGAGACGTAGAGACAGCGTGTGTTTCATGTGGGATCTCGCTGCGTACTGAAATTACGCGTTATCGAATGTACGGCATACCAAAGGTAGGGGGGAAGGGAGGGGTGGGCAAAAGAAATACAGGAAAGGATAAATAGATAATGTGAAATGAATTTAGCAAGCTCAGGGCCGCAGCTCCGACTTTAATGATTTTATAATCGGGAGATAAATCTTATCAAATTTTTCGGTGTCTTTATGCACATTCAAGCTGTTGTCTTGTCTTATAATGTGAATCATTTCAGAAATTGTCCTTCTTTTGAAAGAAGATTCACGATCAAGAACAATCACCTCATTCCAATCGAACTCATGTCCTTCCAGTCTGTGGAGGGAAACAACTGATAATTGTTCTGTAGAGCCATTAATGTTAGACCGATGTTCTTTCATACGAGTCTTCAATTGTCTGCCGGTCTGTCCAACGTAAGATGCCGTGCAGTCACGGCAATGGATCCTATAGATCACGTTGGAAAGATTCTCCTTTGGAAGTTGGTCTTTATGTGTTTTGATGAAGCAGTTCAGTTTATTCGGTACAGCATAGGCGAGAGACTTATTTAAGTTCTTCGCTACATCTTTAAAGTGCTCAGAGACTCCCTTAATGTATGGGATGATAAAAAACGATTTGGAGGTGTCCGAAGTTGGAGGAAGTGGAGGAGCAAGATTGTTATGGATAAGAGATTTAATTCTGTTAATGATGGTAGAAAAAATGAAATTGATGGGATAACAATTATCCAGGAGCAGATCAATTATCAGCTTAAAATTTTTTTCATGGAAACGCGGGTTAGACAGTTTAAAGATTTTGTCCGTAAGACCAATTATGACGCCTTTTTTATGCGCTTGCGGATGTTGAGAGAGAAAGTTTAAAAATCTCCCAGAGAACGTAGGCTTCATATACCAATCAAACTCAATATGATGGTCTTCAATAATGATAGTGACATCTAAAAAATTGAGACGGTCATTCTCAGGAATTTCTATAGTGAAATTAAGCCTCTGATGGAAGGAGTTAAAGACTTCCATGATAAGATTAAAGGAGGAAGAGGGAGCAATCAAAAGCAATGTCGTCCACATATCGAAAATAAAAAGGGAGATGAAAAGGTAGTTGTGACATGGCTTGTTCCTCAAGATCTTGTAAGACTAGATCTGCACAAACGGGGGAGAGGGGGGAACCCATAGGTGTCCCAAAAATTTGCTTGTATATTTTCCCATTGAATTTGAAAAAAGTAGAGTTCAGTACCAGCTTAAGACCGATAGAGAATTCCAAGAGCGGGATCTTGATTTTTTTCTCCAGATGATGCCAACGTTTTGTCACACTGTGAATGATCAAGTCTGTAGGAACGTTGGTGAACAATGAAACAACATCTAATGAAGCTAATTTGAGACTGTCATCGACGTGAAAATAATTAATTTTATCTACTAGCTCATAACTATTGGCAATATGACTATTGGAAGGAGGAAGATTTTCATGAAGGCAATTGTGTAGGAAAGAGGCGAATCTATGGAGAGGACTGTTTATGGACGACACTATGATTCTTAAGGGGAAGCCAGATTTGTGGATCTTTGGTAACCCATAAGCTCTAGGTAGCACCCCGTCACTGGTGTAAAGAGAACGTTTTGTTACAGCTGATATGTAATTATTTCGTTGCCACCGTTTCAGAATATCATTGAGCTCTCTACATATTTTTGACATAGGATCCTTGTTAATAACAATATAAGTGTCAGTATCATCAAGTAATTCATTCATTTTCGTGACATATACGTTCTTGTCAAGCGCCACGCTGGCATTGCCTTTATCAGCTCGTGTTATAATTATGTCTGGATGATCAGCCAAGAAAGTTTTACATGTGTTATTCAATCTCAAAAATGACTCATCAATTCGAGGTAAAGATTTCGATTTATTTTTTAAATGATTCTCTAAACCACTGGAGCAGTGTGATTTCTTATCTGTTGAGAAATGTCACAATCAAGCCTCGACATGCTGCACTCAATATATTTAATAAAATCAAAAATTAAACGGGGAGAAGATCTAGGTGCTGGTAAGCTGAATTTTTCTCCCAATTGTAAAAGACACTGTACTTCGTGAGGAATGTCAACGGAAGACAAATTAATGAACCACTTA